GAGCCACGGTGACGCACGATCACACGCTGCCGAACCGGGGACAGAGGGTTGTCTTCGAGGACCCGGCCGAAGATGACGCGCCACGTCTTCGGGCAACGGGGGTGGAAACTCCGCTAATTGAAATTTTCCGGAGGAGGATGGATTGCTCTCGCAGATCCAGAGCTACGAAGCACGGTGGCGGCAGGAACTTTGTTAAAATATTATTTTCGTAGTGTAGAAGCGAAAAGCTGCTTTGTTGTACACATTTCGGGAACGTGTATGTTGGACGATTTATTACCGGACGCGTGTGTTGGGCAATTTGTTATTATACGTGTACGTTAGACAGTCCGTTATTATGTATGTACATTAGACAGTTCATTATTATACATATACATTACATAGTGTAGTATTATACATCTATTGTGCTTGATTTTATGTACAAGATAGTCTTCTTTTAGAAGAAATTTTGCAAGGTCCTGTATACTACGTATTGTACCACCCAAATGAATTGTCATACGTTTTATACTTTAAAGAGTAAGTAGAATAATATCCAGAAAATATTACTATTTTTTAAAATATTATTATTTCGTTACAACGTTGCATCGAATCAATTATTTTTCAAAATGAAGATAGATGCTACAACAAATATTAAGCAATCGTATTTCTATAACATACACCTTGCAAAATCTATTTAGAACAATTGAGAAATATTAAAATCGATATAATTGCAGCATTATACCTGAGCGAGCATTATACCTGTAAAGTTCCAGAAAGAAATTAAAAAGACTCTGTAGAACCCAAAATTAAAAAATTGAACAAGGGACACAAATAAAGAAACCAAACAGTTATTTATCCAAGATATTAAGTCAACATTTTCAGAAGTGCAGGCAACGATTATCGTTGTACCGCTAGAAGGGTTGAAGATCGAGGCTAAACGACGTACACGGAGAACAAAGAACGGTTCACTGCGAGAGGGTTAAAAATTCTTCGGGGTGGTCAACCGAGTCTTAAAATGTCCTCTTTCAGCCAGTGGTCATCGCGAAGGGGTTGTCCCCGATAAGGGCGACCGCGTGGAGGGTCGAAGGCAAAACGCGTGCATGGAGAGGGCCGAGAGGGTACGTGGGCATCGGTGCCAGCAGGCCGCGTGAGTTATGGCCGTCCCGACGCTCTCTCCCATTGGCCCTCGGCTCAATTTACAGATGATTCCGCGTGTTACCGCCTGGCCAACGGCTGGTTAACCTTCGTGCCAAACACTTAATCTTCCGACTGTGTGTCCCGCGACTGCCGCTTCAGATCGCGACTTTCCAGATAACAACCGGACCGAGCCGAGCCAGGCCGGGCCGAGTCGGGTCTGGCCGGGCCGGGCCGGGACGGTCCAGCTCTGCTTTGCTCGGCCTCGCCGAATGGTTAGATAAATGGAAAGAGGCGTACTATGGTGGCTATCGTTTCGAGGACCGTCGCTTCGCGCCCGTCGGCCCTAGTGGCCCATAAACTTGGCCACCCTTCTGATCCCATTGCCAAGCTAGCAGCGTGTACAGGCGACCTTCTGTCGCTGGAGCGTGCCACGGACCTATCCCCCGCAGATTTATCGGTCCTCGATGGGCCGACAATAGCCAACAAGTTGCTGGAAAACGATCGCGCACACCTCTTCCTCCTATCGACGCGGGATACCGACGATTCGACAGTGTCCTTCGGGTCAGAGGTGATCGAAGTCGCAGACTTGGGAACTGGTTCGCGCTTCGGCTATCGGAAGCTATATTGCGGGTTGGTTCATTTAGAGGAGGATATAAAGATTTCTTTTAAATTGCATGCCCTGGGCGAGGCGATAAACTGTGTTGCTCGAGGTGGTTCGTTGATTCGTGAGCGAAATTGACATCTTTGTTCAGCGGTTCGTTTAAGACAGTTTATTTTTCGAATGATTCATTGAAGGCGGTTTAATCGTGGAACTATTATGTAGGATGGGGCTATATTTATTGATGGTAGACTGATTCTGGAACAATTTATTTAGAACAGTTTGTGTATTGAACAATTTATTAAGGGTTGTTTAATTGTGAAATAATTTCTCTTGAACGGTTTACGTGTTGAACAATTTATTAAGGGGGGATTCATTGTGGAATAATTTATTAGCGGCAGTTTCATTGCTGAACAGTTGATTCGGGACAGTTTATTTGCTGAACAATTTACTAAGAACAGTTTTGATTAAGGACAGTTTAATTGTAGAACAATTAAACCCCTTCGTTTAGAAAATCGTGCCAGGTTTGTGAAGATTCCGAATAGGAAAAAGGGTATAAAAAAGGGTATAAAAAGGGTACGGTCGTTAAGATTATACAAAATGCAGAATGACACCATATACGGTCGCGAAGATTATGCGAAACGTAGAATGTACCAAGTACGCTGGAGAAGATAATACAGAACGTAGAATGTACCGAGCATGATTATACGTACCGGACACATACGAAGAAATCCTGCTCACCGAAGTTGGGAAAAATCGTGGGACAATTAATTAAGTGCAGCAAGGTTGTAATTTTGTGCTATTACAGCGGATACGGTCTGTTGAGCAATAGGTTTATCAATTTCTCCTGGAAGTACCTCGAGCACCGGAGGGGCATGAAAGATAGTTTCAGAAAATTTGGAAGGGAAACACTGGCACGGCAATTAACCTTTCGAAATGCCCGGGGCTAAAGGGATAATTCTATAGATGCGATGCGAATTTCTACGTCTCTTTATCTGTGTACGCGGCATGCACCGTGGCATTAAGTCTCTCTGGTCGTCTAGTGAAAGTTCGTAATGAAGTGCACATGGTGGACTGGACGAAGTTGTTACTCAACTGAGCATTTTATGCTAAAGAGAAGATTAAATATTTGTCTCCTGAGGCCTGATAATTAGCTTGGTATTTCTTAATTTGTGTCTGGCGTTGATATATACCGAGTGTTTCTCGAAGAAAATCTCTTTCTTATCGGACGCGTAAAAATCTATTATTTACCGGAAGAAGCACGAACGCGAGTATTTCGTTCATCTGTGACAGAAGAATTGCGAAGAACCGGCAAAGTTGACACTGTCTCGTGTATAGAAAGCTCTTTCATTCCTCGATTACCGCTTCTTGTAGCGAACCCGACCAACGACTCTCTCGAGCGAATAAATCAAAACGGACTGTACGTCGCGCGTTAAGCCGTTCATGTCATTCGACTAGACCTTGGGTGGTTCATATTCGCGTTACAATTTCGCGTTGCCAGTTCGCGATATTCGATAATCATGTTCACTGTGATCTTTCAATCCGTTACTCCGTAAAATCGCGACCACTCAAAACTGCAGAATATCAAAGAAACGATGCAGAACCGTTCTCCTAATCACGACCCTTCACCGCGGAACAATGCTCGGCGGCATCATCGTAAACTAATTTTTCAAGCCGGGACTCCAAACAGCTAATTTGTCGATCTCGGGCAAACAAAGCGAACATAAATCAAGAAAAACCTGCAAGAAGAGCAGTCCCTAACGAAAGAAATCATTAGCCTCTCGGATCGACACATGGTCCGAGTGAATGGAGCCGGAGTTCAGCCGAATGGCCTAATCGACGTCAAACGAAACCTCAAACCAGAACGAATCGTCCGTAGGTTCTCGGGTCACGCCGAAGACACCGAATTCCCCGTGACCGAGAACGGGCAGCACGATTCGTCCCCGGAAGACAATAATTCATCCTCATTGAAAGGGTTACTGCTGCGGACCCGCATGTGTTGACCATCGGTCTATCGATTGTACCCTCTCTCTCTTTCTCTCTCTCTCTCTCTCTCTCTCTCTCTCTCTCTCTGTCCCTGTAGGAGATACATCATAATTCGCCGACCGGAGTAGAGAATGTTTACGAGCAGCTCGGGGAAAACGCGCGGTTTTCGCACGTGACGGTCTCCAGATGCTGGCCCTCCTCGAGGAAAAGGAGTGCCCGGCCGAGAACTGTCATTAGCCGACGGACACTGGGCACCCCGTGGCGAGCCACAATGTGTCCCCTGGTCAGGCGATACACCACGATGCTACCGGCACCACGCTAACGCTATAAACAGACGCGCCGAATCCTCGCCACGACGTTAATTGACTCACTCCCGTTTGTCGCTTCACCCCCGCGGTGACGGCAACCAGTCCTCCCTGTCTTAATTGATAATCACCACCGACGTTTTTTCTTCAATTTTCTCGGCTGTTGGTCCCCTGATTTATGGACTCGTCCAACCACCGATTGAAAGCTTGTCTTGGCATTTACGCGTTGTCTTGTATGGGGAACAATGGGAATCGCGTTGAAGCAAGTTTAGGACTGTTTGACATTTTTTGCATCATCGAAGGAAAAGTACTTGCGCGACGATCAATCTGTTTCATTGTTCTATCTATGACGATCCGGTATCGCAAGATAGAATTAATCAAGAGATTAAGTTATCGGTAAGTATCCAAGTCTCCGAATCGTATCTTTCGTTCTATGAGTATGGTCAGCATGTAATCGAATCGTACCAGTACTTTTTTATTTTTTTACTCTTTGTGCATCCTAATATCGATGCTTTAAGCACACGAGCTAGCTAGAAGCTTCTACTGGTTTAGCTAAGTACGTTTTCTTTGCTCAAGTTTGTGTACTGACGAAACGAAGATGTTCAGACCTTTAGGCAGGTTCTGAGAAAAAGACACTTTTTGAAGAGAAAAACACTTTTCCAAGAGGAAGATACTTCCTGAAGAGACAGATATTTCTTCTTCAGTCCATAAATGAACTACTGCATCAAGCTAAACTGGATGAACATTCCCCCACGAACCAATTGAACAGTTCTGCTTTTGGAGTCCACTTAACATCCAAACTCTAATTACCAAATCCCTATTTACCACCAAAAACCAAATACCCCAAGTAACTCGGCCTGATAATCCAAGTTCAATCATACCCCTCGAATCCAAATAGTCCATTTAATCTATCCCCAAATCGTCATTCTCCTCAAGCTCTCTTTCCCACCCGAAACCTATCGAATACTAAAACTATCATCAACGAAATCATTTCTTACCTTGCTGGTTGCTCTTCCTGGTAGTCTTCTTCTCCTTCATCCAGGGGTACTCGGGCACGTTGACGGAGGGGTCGGCGACCCCGTGAGGATCCATCATCGCGTGGTACCCAGGATGATGGGATCCAGGGCTGATGGATCCTCCGGTGCCCGGCGAGTGTTGTAGACTACCGTCGCCGGCCAGCTGGGGCAAGGCGGTCATGAACTCCGCCATGGAGGGTTGGCTGTTGATGAACCCGGTCTCCGCGGACCCGCATGTCGGATCCATGGCTGGATGATGGGTCCCGTGCGGGGGCAGCCCGGCTGGGGCACCTGCCCCCGCGGCCACCGTGGCCAGCCAGAAGCCGCCCCCTCCGTCGTTCGCCAGGACGGGTGTCGTCGGCCTCGTCTTCAGGCCCGCGAGCTCCTTGCCTGCGTGGACCAACGCCTCGAGGTGACCGCCGGGTTGCTGCACGTTGCCCGAGCTACCCAGCTGCGCGGATTCGTCAGGATCCTCTTCCTGGTGCGCCAGTGGCTGTTGTTTGCCGCGCATGGAACGAGTTCAACGCCGGATCGATGCTCACGGTGTTGGACCACGAACTCTCGTGCTGCTACCGGTTGGATCAGTTGGCAGGACTACCGACAGTTCAAGCTGCTTCAGNTTGTACCCTCTCTCTCTTTCTCTCTCTCTCTCTCTCTCTCTCTCTCTCTCTCTCTGTCCCTGTAGGAGATACATCATAATTCGCCGACCGGAGTAGAGAATGTTTACGAGCAGCTCGGGGAAAACGCGCGGTTTTCGCACGTGACGGTCTCCAGATGCTGGCCCTCCTCGAGGAAAAGGAGTGCCCGGCCGAGAACTGTCATTAGCCGACGGACACTGGGCACCCCGTGGCGAGCCACAATGTGTCCCCTGGTCAGGCGATACACCACGATGCTACCGGCACCACGCTAACGCTATAAACAGACGCGCCGAATCCTCGCCACGACGTTAATTGACTCACTCCCGTTTGTCGCTTCACCCCCGCGGTGACGGCAACCAGTCCTCCCTGTCTTAATTGATAATCACCACCGACGTTTTTTCTTCAATTTTCTCGGCTGTTGGTCCCCTGATTTATGGACTCGTCCAACCACCGATTGAAAGCTTGTCTTGGCATTTACGCGTTGTCTTGTATGGGGAACAATGGGAATCGCGTTGAAGCAAGTTTAGGACTGTTTGACATTTTTTGCATCATCGAAGGAAAAGTACTTGCGCGACGATCAATCTGTTTCATTGTTCTATCTATGACGATCCGGTATCGCAAGATAGAATTAATCAAGAGATTAAGTTATCGGTAAGTATCCAAGTCTCCGAATCGTATCTTTCGTTCTATGAGTATGGTCAGCATGTAATCGAATCGTACCAGTACTTTTTTATTTTTTTACTCTTTGTGCATCCTAATATCGATGCTTTAAGCACACGAGCTAGCTAGAAGCTTCTACTGGTTTAGCTAAGTACGTTTTCTTTGCTCAAGTTTGTGTACTGACGAAACGAAGATGTTCAGACCTTTAGGCAGGTTCTGAGAAAAAGACACTTTTTGAAGAGAAAAACACTTTTCCAAGAGGAAGATACTTCCTGAAGAGACAGATATTTCTTCTTCAGTCCATAAATGAACTACTGCATCAAGCTAAACTGGATGAACATTCCCCCACGAACCAATTGAACAGTTCTGCTTTTGGAGTCCACTTAACATCCAAACTCTAATTACCAAATCCCTATTTACCACCAAAAACCAAATACCCCAAGTAACTCGGCCTGATAATCCAAGTTCAATCATACCCCTCGAATCCAAATAGTCCATTTAATCTATCCCCAAATCGTCATTCTCCTCAAGCTCTCTTTCCCACCCGAAACCTATCGAATACTAAAACTATCATCAACGAAATCATTTCTTACCTTGCTGGTTGCTCTTCCTGGTAGTCTTCTTCTCCTTCATCCAGGGGTACTCGGGCACGTTGACGGAGGGGTCGGCGACCCCGTGAGGATCCATCATCGCGTGGTACCCAGGATGATGGGATCCAGGGCTGATGGATCCTCCGGTGCCCGGCGAGTGTTGTAGACTACCGTCGCCGGCCAGCTGGGGCAAGGCGGTCATGAACTCCGCCATGGAGGGTTGGCTGTTGATGAACCCGGTCTCCGCGGACCCGCATGTCGGATCCATGGCTGGATGATGGGTCCCGTGCGGGGGCAGCCCGGCTGGGGCACCTGCCCCCGCGGCCACCGTGGCCAGCCAGAAGCCGCCCCCTCCGTCGTTCGCCAGGACGGGTGTCGTCGGCCTCGTCTTCAGGCCCGCGAGCTCCTTGCCTGCGTGGACCAACGCCTCGAGGTGACCGCCGGGTTGCTGCACGTTGCCCGAGCTACCCAGCTGCGCGGATTCGTCAGGATCCTCTTCCTGGTGCGCCAGTGGCTGTTGTTTGCCGCGCATGGAACGAGTTCAACGCCGGATCGATGCTCACGGTGTTGGACCACGAACTCTCGTGCTGCTACCGGTTGGATCAGTTGGCAGGACTACCGACAGTTCAAGCTGCTTCAGAGCACCTTAAGACATCCCACCGATGCTCCCGGGATTGGACCACGAATTTCCAGGCTGCTGCAACCGGCTGTAGCAGCTGCCAGGATCACGAAGACCTTTGGATAGCTTCAGGCACTAGAACATTCCTCCGATCCTCGCGGAATTGTATCACGGTGCTTCCCGAACTTAGGGCAGATCCAACCGGCGCGGCCGACAGTTTAGCACAGGTCTGCTAAGAGCTCTAGATGGTTCGCAGCACGAACGATCATCCCAGTCTTAGCACTCCATCTTTGCACTGGCATCGCGAATCTACCACCCGTAGGATAGGTCGACTGCTCGTCCAGGCGTAGATCACTAGAACATTTCTCGGTGGCCAGAGAAAACGTGCTCGAATTTCTCGGACACACGGAACGACCCTAGCACTGAACCATCTCTACGTTTCCGTACACCACGTCTACCTTCGCTCACTATCCAGGCCCCGGTTCACCAAACGCTGCGTGGAGCCAGGTTCACCACAAAGATCGCCGACGGGGGGCGACCGAGAACCGGCGCGTCGCGACGACGTCTACTTGCACAGAACACTCATGCCCGGCGCCGGACAGGTAAAGACAGGTGATCACAACCGCGGAAGCACTGTCACCGGATCGATTGTAACCGCGCGAGATCGCCGGACGGTACCGAGAGTGGTAGAGCGCGGCTACCAGGAGAGCGTGTTCCGATCGGCCGGAACCCAGGCTGGCGAGGCAGGCTGGCGATTCCGATGTTCGCTCGTCTAGCGGCGACGACGACGACGACGACGGCGACGACGAGGTGGAGGAGGAGGAGGAGGAAGAGGAAGAGGAGGAGGAGGACGACGACGAAGAGGAGGAGGTCGTCGAAGAGGAGGTGGCGAGGTGGCGGCAGAAAGGAGGAGGAGGGCGACGGCGGAGAAAGATAGGCGGCGTGAAGAGAGGAGGAACCTGGGGAACGAGGCAGGGTCTCACCGGGAGGTAGGAAGAGGCGGAGAGGTCGCCGGTGGCCTTCGGTTGGAGAAGGAGACGCACTCGGCGAGTTCCACTCGGCGGCACCCTGTCGAGAGAGTTCCGCGCCGCTCTTTTTCGCTTCTCCAGTGTTCTCCGTGGCGTGTCCCTGTTGTTACTGCTGTCTCTCTTGCCCCGGCTAGGTAGGGGGTCTCTGCGGGCTCCGTACTGCTTCCCTGCCCTCCCGGAGGGGACACGGGACGGTGGTCACGTGACCGAGGCCAGCCGAGCCGGCGGCGAATCGCGAGGCGGTATCCGGCAGGAGGAGGCACGGCCCTCCGACGTCGTAGGCGGGCTGCAGCAGATCCAGCCGGTGCTCTCTCTCTCCGAGGGCTCGGAGGGCTCGGAGGGCACGGAACCGAAGGGGCACCAGCACAGCCAACACGCAGACCCGCTCCACGCCGCGACGATGCGAACCGGCGACTCTCATTCCTCTTCTGCGTCCGCTCGGGAGCACGAGGCCGACTTGGGCGGTCATGGATTCCGGCGCAGATGTGGGCGTGACGCGCAGGCGCGCAGGTAGCCTCGGTCTGGCCACGTGGTGGGGAAGTTCTCACGTGCTCGGCCACGCGGTCCCCACACTCCTTGGCACGACGCAGGGGGGAACGGCCGAGTAAGAGGTAAAAATCTATCCAGAGATCTCGCCGTCACGATCGACCCCTTCGAGAGAGAGAGGTGGATACGTGTTTATGGCCGCGGGTGGATAACTATGATCGCGCCGACACGCCGGTGCCGAACGGATCCCGCGATCCTGCCTCCCAGGATCATGGGAATTCGGTTTATCGACCTACGCGGGCTGGGAACGCGCGGGAACATCGTGATTCCAGCTTCCTTGACTTACAGGCTGCTTTTGTTTTCTGTGCTTCACGGTTACGCCGATGGATTGGCTGGTTTTCTTGACGCGCCAAGATGATTGGGCGATCCTTTCTTGTCGATCGGGATTGCCGATCAACCTTGTGGCGAGATTTTGGTTTTTTTCAGAGATAGTTCGGAGATTGATGTTCGACTGCTGGGACGGAGTTGCACGATTTTATGATATGAAATTATTTTAGACAACAAGTTCCGCAATGTTTTGAAGCAGTATTTCAGAAAGTAAACTTTATTTAAAATTGCAGCGGGCCGAGAAAAGATTTTGGCGCCCCGTAGATTGCGGTTGGTTTCATTAGAAAAATTTCCTCTTAGAAATTATTTAAAAATTTGCTGAAATACTAATGGGTGGATACTTTAGAACTATGCAATGCAATTGCCTAGAGTCTAGAGAAAGAACAGAACGTTTAGCATTTTCAATTACTTGACTCTGTCTGCCCTCTTTAAAATCAAACTTTTCGAAAATTGCCCGAGAATTTAGCCTGATTCGTCGAAACATTTTACATTATATTTTTCTTCTTTTTTTTCTTTCGGAGCATGAAAGGGGAAATCGCTCGGAACGGACGAGAGAGTGACGGCACGATGCAGTAAGTTCGATAGGCGATTCAGTGCGGTGGGATGTGCATCGAATGCACCGATGTGACGTCGTCGCAACCGTTTCGGCTGCTGGGGGCGCCGGCTGGTGCTACGACGACTTGCCATGGGGCAGTTTTGATGACAGATTACCCTGATCCGCTTTGTGGAGAAGCTCTCATTTAGACAGCCGGTTTGATTGAAAAGTTCGCCGGCCGTTTAACGAAACGAACCAACAAAAAATAGAATATATACCGCTACTACCCTCGTTCTCTGATACGTCCTGGAATAGAAATCAACCGGTCTGTCTTCATCCCTTGGTCTATCGTGTGATCGAGAGCTTCGAAATTCTCGTGGAAAAAGGAAAGTTGCTCGATCTGGCTTTTTTTTGTTAGATGCAACCCCCTTGCCGCCCTTGTTCGTCATGTTACTTCGTAAAATTGGCGTCGATGAAGTTCTGTATTCGTTCTGTATTCTTATGGTCGAGATATTGAAGATTGAACATCGTGAACATGATTTTATACAGTTCTTGATGGCATCGAAATTTTCACAAGTTAGAGATTTTTAATTGTAGTTAAAAATAACCAATGTAAGTATTGCACTGCGTCTAAAGGTGCAGATATCGTCCGCGTTCACAGCTGATCTGAATGCGATCCCAATGTTCTTAAATATCTTAATATTTCTCCGTAAAATAATGAACTCTAAATTTAGGGGATGCATAATAGTTTCGAAATTCCCAGCTATCCTCTTGGAAGACTTAACCCTTTTATAAACATTAAAAATGCAAATATGCATCGATCTACAGCTCTTCGGAATCCACCCCCAATCCTCTCCATCATCTGCAACACAATAAATTTAGGGGATGCAGAATAGTTTCCAAATTTCGAAGCCTTCTCTCGCTCGCACCGCGATCGAATATCTCGGAGGAAAAAACAGTTCGAGACACAAGAATATCGCGATCGATGATCCAATGGATCAACGGGGTTATAGAGCAAAATTCCATCGAGGCTGGAAGGGCGGCGACCGGCTCGCAAACGCTCACGAGGGCGCGGATGGCTCGTAGCGGAAAGCAGAGAGGCAAGAGAGCGAGAGATCGGCCGAGGGAGGAGAGCAGCCGCCACATCTGCCGCCAGATTTAACTATACATTACAGACACACGATATGTCAAAGTCCTATACTTCATATCGACTCCGCCATTTATTAAAAGTTTCATCGCGCGCGCACGGTCCCCGCTCCGCCGCGCGACCCCTTCTTTCCGCCGCACCGTGGAAGAATATAGGAAGGATGCTCGAAATATACGAACGAAAACTTCCAAGGAAGAATATATCGGGCCGAACCAACGGCGGAGGTGTCGCGCTCGGATTTTCCTCTTCCGATCTCGATCCCACCCCCGACCGAACGAACCTTCGCAGTCAAATCTTTTTACGACCCGTTTGTCTTATTAACGCCAGTTAATATTACCACTTTGTGAATCTGTCGGCACTTGGGAGATATTACGTTACAACTGTGTTTTTATATGGGAGATTGAACGAAGATTGAACAGTTTTCTAATCGGTGGTTCGCGGTGATTTATTAATTTCTTTCTCGGAAGAATCTCCGGACGCGAGTTTCAAAAATAGTTGATGGTAGTTCAAAAAGGTTTGTAAAGAACATTGAACTCAACTGAGTCCTTCAGACGATTCTCAAAAATAGTTGAAGCAGTCTAAATAAATTATTCATGCTTTATTTATAAATTCTTGAATCGAAGAAATCCACTTCTAATTCTCACAGGGCATCCACTTGATTCAAACCTTCAGCCGACGTTAAGAAATGCTTAAATGAGACTAAATAATTCATCTATATTTTCTTTACAATTTCATTTGTCGAAGAAATTAATTATCGATGGCTACAGCGCATTTGTATAACGCAGGCTAAGTAAATTATTTCAAATTCATTTGTCGTAGAGATTTTTAACTTCTACAAAGAATTTATTAAATTTAGCCTCTAGACGATGATAAAAAAATCGTCCACTAAACTAAACGAACAGTTCGATTTTCGGCTGGTGCAGTGCGGCTGCACTCGTTAGGCACTTTAGGAGCCACGGAAAATCATTTGCCGATCCGAGACGAGGGCAGATACGGTCTAGATTGGGGATGAAATTCAGGGCGGCAGAAATGTGTCTCGACGAAGAGGTCTCGTCGGTTGTACACGAGTTTCTTTATGCCACTCGATAGCCTATATATTAGGCATCTTCGCGGGAGGGTTGGCGATGTCAATATATATGCAAACGCCGACATAACGATCTATCGGTACGTAAATATATAAGGGGCGGGGGTGCGGGCGGAGGAGGGTAAGCGAGCAGAGAAGGAAGGCGTCGACAAAAAAGCCGGGGGGTGGGATAGTGCCGGCAGGGGTGGCGGAGGAGCCTGCGGAGGTGGGTGGCAGGGAGAACGGGCAAGGAGGGAAGGAGAGAGAGAGAGAGGGAGAGAGAGACAGAGAGGAAGCTGGAAGCTTAATATAAAACTTCATTTCGCAATCGGTGGCAGCCGGAGAGGAAAAGGAGAGAACTGACAGACAGAAATTCCCGTTTCGTCGCGGGAAACGGCACCGCGCCGCGCCGCCGCGCCCGCTGGAATCCCATTTTTCTAGTATTAAGCTTAACCGAGATAAGATAAGAGGCGAAGTCTCGCTGATTTCGTGCGAGGACCGGCTAGGCGCTGCGAGACACTGAAATTTTCGCCGCGCGAAAATCTGCCGGGGTCCTGGTAAACGACAATGGCTAACGTTCCGGCAAATGTACGGCTGCAGATGGCAGGGACGTTCGCGTCTCCGGAACATAAACTGCTCGCATGCAGAAAATATCTGCAGGTTTTGCTTGAAGGGAACGTGCTCTTTAGCTGTGGACGGTGTTTAAAAATCAGGGAGATCGTAATTCTTGACAATTTTCGGTTGCTTAGGTGGTCAGATTCGTTCGAGTCAAATTTTCCGTCGAGCATTGCGAGGTTTCCGGCGACAGAAAATTCAGTCAAACGAAATAAATACATAAAATCAAGATTCATCGTGAGGATTTTGTTTTCAATAAATTTGATCTAGTTGTTGATCATATGTAGATCATTTGTAGATCGATTTGTACTATATCAAACGTATTCGGAATATATCGGAATATCATTTAAAATTTCTCAGAAAATTAGTTACACAATTTTCTGTACTACGCTTCTCATTTTCGATGTAAAAATAATGTTGAACGAAATGTAGTACAAAAGATCTAGTACAACAGTTCGTATACAAAAATTCTAGTACAATAATTCTAGTTCAAACGACAATTTCTGGTACAAAAGTTCTTCACATTTCAACGTCGCGTGTCCCTAAATTACTA